TGGTTGGCTGGTTGGCTGGTTGGCTGGTTGGCTGGTTGGCTGTTAGCTGGTTGGCTGGTTGGACGTGGGTTAATGTTTAGTTGCAAAATTGATTGATTGACAGATGTCAAGTACAAAGCCTTGTGCATATAAAACCTACCTTTTCATGACCGAGTTCATTGATGACAGAAGCTAAAGTTCTTGTTTTCCACTGGGATTTTGGTAATTTCTCGCTATTATTCCCACTTCCTTCTTGATCAAAGCTAGACAAACCGATATTAAAGAATTCTACTCCATTTGGACGTCTGTGATCGGGCTGACCAATGGTAGGATCGAACGAAAACACGTGACACCCATAATTTGCCATTCCATCATCAAAAGAAAAATCTCTACCAATCCTTAAAAAAATAACACGGAATTTGATATAAACTCCAGTTCTATCATAGAACGAGGGCGACAGGTTGGTTAGCCATTGCCACCCTCGTAAAACAAAGAATGTTCTCGCGGGGAAAAACTATCAAACTCACCCAAACGAATACACAATACACGAACCCGGTATTAGTCCAACATTGGTGTCAAAACATACATCCCATGCACCATCAGCTCCAAAAGGACGAGGTTCAATCGTTGTCTCTGATCGCTCACCACCTATTCTCCTGATATCTTGACAGACTGCCCCTTGCGTTGCTAGGAAACGCTTGTATCTAGCCATTTCATATGCTATCGTCCCGTTACCAGCGGGTTTTTGTTCGATGTACTTGTAGATGTTAATTGGTTTCGCCGTTGTTGGGAATTGATAGTTACTGGTTTGACCTGTCTTGGTCATATAACGTTTATCTATATCTGAAACATTTAGAATCTTGTTTTAAATGTTTTTACAGTGGTACCACTATCTTACGAAGTGGGTGTCCGCTTAGTCTCCTCCGTTCGTAGCCGTCATAAGTTTCGGTCCCATATCCTCAAGCTTACGGGGCAGGGTCTTTGAGGATCTGGGACCGAAACTAATGCGGCTGCGGACGGACTAGTGTCCGCCATATGTAAGGAAATTTCGAGACCGTGCAATTAGCTTAACTAACGTAACTTCGTACTGAAAGGTTTGTGGGTGAGAAGCAAAGCGTCTCGGAAAGAGATATTACTCGACAGTCAAGAAGTGGGAACTGTTCATACCTTTCTTGACGATTCTTTTGATTTTATGGTTGAAGTTTGGGGGACTCTGTAGCTGAACTAATACTCGTTGTAAAAAAAAAAAAAAAAAAAAAAAGATAAGATACCTAGCCCGGCGGGATTGAACCAGGGTCGTATTGATGAAAGCCAAGCACTCTCACCGCTACACCACCCGTGCTTCCCGTAAACAGGTTTCTACAGCTGCGCGCAACGAAGCCTTATCCCCAGGCTACTCATTGCTCTTCTAAATCTAAGATGGCGGACGCTTCAGAGTATAGCCTGGCAAAACGCTTGGAGTTATCTTCCAAAAAATAGACGAAGCACATTCATTTCTTTACGAAACTGTTTTTTAGTCGTTTTTTATTGTTTCTACGTCATTTCGATCAGCGAGGAGAGTAGCCTGGAGACGAGGTTATAGGTGCCCTTGAAGCCCTTGCATACTACTTATCCCTTACCACTGCTTGGTGTAGAAATATTGCTGTAAATGTTATCAGCAGAATAATTACAGTCCTTCGAAGATGGATCTTCATGATCGTTGTAGACGATATGAGTTATCTATCAAACGAAATAAAACGCATTCGCATAATCCGTTATGGATGATCATTAGAGAAACGTCAGCTGCCATTAAACTATTTTTAGAACTAATATTTTATTTTTTGGTGGGAAAATGACGTCATGATGCAATTGTCAATTGTTCTCGTCATAGCTCTCTTAATGTGAAGCGACAATTTTCATTTCGGTTTCTGAAACCACATTACTAAATTACTTGAATGGTAAAAATATATAATCTTATGCCTTTTGTCAATCAAGTCTTTGGAATTTTTTCAAAAGGCGTAGGTGAAAGCAAAGAATTGAAACAGCTGACTCAGCGTGTTTTGCTTCTTTATTTTTTCATATATTTATTTTACGCTTTTGTATTTTGGTTTTCTTCCCTTCCTACAATAATATACTGATGTTCTCTATGATTTCAGCTTTCTGAACACGGTTTTTGGCTTTTGTTTGTCATTACGGTATACCGGTTACGCAAGTATACTATTACCGTCCCAATCTACCCCCCGTTAAGAATAAAACTCATGCCTTTAAACTCTACTTTTAAAGCAATAACTTTATATATATTTAAAAAATGTATATATATTAAATTAATCTTGAATTGTAAATTTACAATACCTAGCACCTTGAAGATATCTGGCCCTTATTTACTTTCCGTTATAACGTGACAACGACTTGTACTCCTGACCATAACGGCTGTCACTTTTCATCCCACTATAATGTCCCTCTATGCTCCCGCCAGTGTTTTGATGATTTTTTTGATCTTCGGTGACGCGTTTAAATGACTAATATGTCTATTTATGAAATACAGTACAAGTAAATGCAATTTCGATTGTGGCTCTGAAAAAGCGCTAGCTTTGAATGACGTCAAGGAAACCGTAGAAAAGAGGTTCAAATAAAAGGAATAAGTAGACAACCTGCTTGTCATGGTACCCGTTATTAGCTTTTATTCTTTTGTATCCTCGTTTTCCATTAAGGATTTTCTCTACTATAAAGGCACCGTACTGCACCAGAGAAATTATTTAAGATTAAGAGAGAATTCTTTTCGTATTCAAGCGGTGAGCGCCAAAAAATTTTTTCTTGAAGAAAGGCTGTTGTACAAAGCTAAAGTTTTGTTATCCCGAAAGTTTAACTTGTTTGAAAGTGGAGATGATCGATGAAAGTGGAATCGAAGTGTTTACCCAAAGCAAAAATTTGAATTGAAAAACGAGGTTTAGGCCTTCATTTGCTTATTTCCCATACATTTTCTATAAAAAATCCTTTCAAAGCTACATTCAAACACAAATGCAACAAAACATCTTTGTACAATTGAAAATACCTTCAAACAAGCATTTTATCATAGCACATCAGTTTCTAACTGTTTAAAAAAAGGTTTTGAGTGTTAACCCAAAACGAAAATTGGGATCAAAACTCATACGAAGGTCTAGTTTTTGGCGCTTTTTGCCATTATTACTCGTTATTGAAAAAAAATTCCTCTTAATTAAAAAACTGAATTTTGATGTTAGTAAAAGACGGATATTTTCCCCTTTTGGATTGTCGATATTTTAAGTCCTGGCCGGGGTTATCCAGGGCTTGGTCAAGAATCCAAGATTATTCTTAGATATAGGCTTATATTTTAATTAAGGGACGTGTTTGTCGACATACAACATCATCTATTGTTTTGTAAAACCTAATAAAATAATTCACTTATATCCTGACTGCCATAGCAAAAGCTAGACCAATCAATAGAAGTGTATATAGTATAGTCATTGAGAAATGACTTTTGGCCAAATATAGAATATACTGTACTTTTTTACAAATATTTTCAGTTCTTGGGAAGGAACTATCAAGAAGACTAGTGATCAGAAAATTAGGCAAGTGATCAGTGGGATCATAAATTATATTGCTGCTAATGGTGTAAATGTCTATGGAATTGAAACTGCATGTATATAGTAAATGATGAGAGGTGAAGTACTACTTAGATCATAACGTATAGACACTACAGAAAAGCGTTTGTGCATGCGTGTCTTTCAGCACGTTTTCTAAGAATTTAGAAGAGTTTGGGGAGTGAACATCCCTCGATGCAACACTCTTCGACAGCATCTGTTGATCCTCTTTTTCCTCTTAAAGATTTACGCATAGACCGACGATCTTCAATTTTATCGAACCTTGAAAACAACCACTTGGCCGGACTAACAGTACTGATCGATCTGTTATAACGGTAAGCCAAAAGATCAGAACAGTTAGATTAAGAAGTAGATGTTGAGTCTTATATATATATATATATATATATATAGATAGATAGATAGATAGATAGATAGATAGATAGATAGATAGATAGATA